AATAAAATTCAATGTTTTTTGATATGTTCAGAGTCAGGCAACCATCACCATAATGAATTTTAGAAACCATAAACTTTTTAGCGGTTACCCTCTATAATCTCCACATCCCCATGGCCCTAAACCACCCCTYATCTATTTCCTGTTTCTCTAAATTTGTCTATTCTGGACATTTCATGCAAATAGAATCATAGATGTGTTTTTTATTGCCAATTTCTTTCCCATAGTATAATATTTTAGGTTCATGTTGTAGCATGTATCAACACTTCATTGCTTTTTAAGCTAACTTTATGCTATATGCTTCTACCACAATTTGTTTATCCACTTATTAGTTGATGGACATTTGAGTTAGTAAATTCTTTGGTATTATGGACAATGATGCTACAAATATTTGTGTATAAGTTATTGTGTAAATGAATGTTTTCAATAGTCTTGGAATGGACATTGCTGAGCAATGGGATAACTGTTTGGTTTTTGAGGAAGTGCCAGCTTATTTTCCATTGTGGTTGCAAATATTGTACATTTGGACCAGCAAAGTATGAGGATCTCAATTTCTCCACATCCTTATCAAAACTTGTTTTTGTCTATTATTTTGATTATAACTATCCTGGTGATTGTATGTATTTTTCAAAGATATACCTATTCAGATCATTGCACAGTTTTTAATYGAGTTGTCATTTTATTATTGAACTATAGAAGCTATTTTTATATTTTATATACAAGTCCCTTATCATACATATAATTTCCTTTTTTTTGCATTATGTGCGTTGTCTTTATTTTTGTGATAGTCTTTTGAAACATAAACTTTTAAATTTTTATAAAGTCCAATTTCTTTCTTTCTTTCTTTCTTTCTTTCTTTCTTTCTTTCTTTCTTTCTTTCTTTCCTTATGGTGTGGGTGTTGAATGTAATCATCTATTTATGTTGCTAAGATCTACCATTATGTTTTCTCTTCGGGGTTTTATAATTTCAATTCTTTCATTAAGGTCTGTTTTGGTTTGGATCTGGAATGTCTCCCGAAGGCTCTTGTGTTGAAAGCTTGGTTCCCAGTGCAGCAATGTTCAGAGATGGGTTTGGGGGAAGTAATTGGATCATGAGGACTTTGATCTCATCAGTGGATTAACCCATTGATAGGTTCCTAATTCTGTGGACCCTTGGGATATGGTGGAAACTATAGGAGGTGGAGCCTAATTGGAGAAAATAGGTCACTGGGAATTTGTCTTGCAAGGGTCTGTCTTCCCTSTGGCTCCTCTGATCTCTCTCTCTGCTTCCTAGCTGCTATCATATGGGCAGCTCTGTTCTACCTTGCCCTCTCTGCCTTTATGCTCTACCTCTCCACAGATCTAAAAGCAATAGAGCCAGCCAACYATGAACTAAAGCCTCTTAAACTGTGCTCTAATTAAACCTCCCCTCCTTTATGTGCTTTTCTCAAGTATTTTGTCATAGCTGACTCATACAAGATCTTTGATACATTTTGAGTTGATTTCTGAACATTGTATGAAGTAGGAGTACAACTTCATATTTTTGCATGTAGCTGTACAACTCTTGTAATATCATTTGTTGAAAAGACAATTCTTTATTTATTGGATGATCTTGGTATTACACTGAAAACAGATAAATTTGGAAGTCTAAATGTCTGGAATTAGATAGTGGTGACAACTTTTTTTTTAATTTTACTTTTAGGTTTCATGGTATGGAAACTATGTTCAATAAAAATTGTACCTATTTTATTTTAATTTCATTGATTTTCCTGAGTAGCCATCCCAATCTTATGTGTTAGTTCTTTCTTTAAATATTTAACTTTTAGGAAGGTCAGCCACATTTATAACCTTGCCATACACTTTGTGTGGCTTTCAAACGTTTTAAGAGGTTAGCCATTGAGGTATATATTATTATAGAGATTGATTATCCACAGTRGAATGGAACAGGCAGCATTAGGGTAAAGAATTTACTCTGACATACCAAAGATTCCAGCTTCACTCCCAGAAATTTTATTTTCTCACTGTTTCAGCATCAGTCAAACCATGCTTACAGTTCCTATACTCAAAAGAGTAGGAATATAAGCCCAGAATGTCATTAAGTTCATGCAGATTGGGATCATTTGTCTGGTGGACTGGTCAAACCCGTGCACTATTACACTCTGGATACATACCAAGTGGAATTGCAAAAAAACAAACAAACAAACAAAAATTTGCTTGGTGGGAGCAAATTTGCTTGGTCAGAGAAATGCTGTGATTCAAATACAAAAGATATTCTAGTCAAATGTGGTTTCACAGCAGGGCTAAACCAGACAGCAGAACTCAGTMGTGTTTGTCTCTGTACCTCTCTTTTATCCAGGAATTGCTTTGTGTTTGCCTATCTTGTTTCAAGTCCTAGGAACATTTTATTTTTATATGCTGCGTTTTTATAGACTTCTGATCAGACTTCTAATCATTTCTTAGGTGCTGATTTTGTAGTTTTAATCCTAGAAAGCAGTCTTTCAGTACTCCCAACTGAAGCTTCATATTTTTCTCATGAGACTGTAAATTTATAAGACAATGATTGAATAACTGATCTTTGTATCTCTTATAGCATCTAGATAGACKTTCATGGTATGATAAAATGAACTGAATCTTGACATCATTTATTATCTTCAAAAATACATTTATTGGTAATTTTATTTGCCTTCATGTTATTGTGTATGACAACAGCAGAAATTSAAAAGTCTGTCAATGTCAATTTCCTAAATTATATGGCTACTCTACCTCTATATTGAGAAGAGTGCTTACATTATTTTACGTGAGAAGTGCATACATAATTTTATGTSAAGTCATTCAAATAGTGATGGCTCAAAGGCAGTTATTATGAGTGCACAATCTTCTATTTAAGTAGTCTGGGCTGAGGATGTGGCTCAAGCGGTAGTGCACTTGCCTGGCATGCGTGCGGCCCGGTTCGATCCTCAGCACCACATACCAACAAAGATGTTGTGTCCGCCGAGAACTAAATAAATAAATAAATATTTTAAAAAAAGTAGTTCTCAAACTTAGGGGTGGATCAAAGTCACTGACAGGACCTAATAAAACATAGTTAGGTCTCATTGATAAGGCAGGTTTAGGATAGGGACTCAGAGTTTGCGGTTCTAATAGCCTTGTTCTCAGGGGATGGGGATGCTCTTGGTTGTAGACTTCACTTAGGGAACCACTGATATCCTTCATCCTTCTTCATTATCAGTGTATGGACTGGAGACCCAAAGTGTGGTGCATGGGCTCTTAGGACTGTCGGAACCTGACAACTTATTAGAAGTCAAGGAGTTCAGACCCTATCTMTGACCTGCATTGTAATAAAAGATGGTTTGTAGCAGACTTTAGAATTAGAGAAGTACTGAATTAGAGCATTGAGAGAGGTCATTTGGAGAACAGGCCAGGGAGGTGAAAAGTATCTAATTAAAATTACAGGTACCTGATAGATTATGCATCTTTGGGCTAAACTGAGAAAGCTGAGAAAATAAAGTGACTAAATCAGTCAAGGTCCCAGAAAGAACTATACAAAGAAGAAATCAAAGAAATTTTAATGAAGAAATTATTTGCAAAAGCATTGGTAAGAATAAGAGGCTCTGTAATGGATGGTGACACATTTAGGTCTTAATAATTGCAATGATTTGTTGCTACCCTTAGGTCTAAAAGGGCAAGGGAAGGAGCTATAGAGGAGTGGAGAGTGAAAAATACCCCGGCTTCTGGTTCTTCCCATTCTTCAGTGTCCTCATGTGATTTCCACTTGCAAAACCACCTAGGAAGTCAAAGGAAGGAAACCTAGCTGATACAGTTTCTGGTTGTCAGCCTTGTTGGGATGCAGAGGAGCATTAGAAAGGTAGAGAGCTCCCCCTTTAAAAAGTCATTTGTTGTTCATGTGCTGGCCAGTTGTACATGTCAGGCTCAAAGTCATACCCTCCTGTTTTCTCTCCAAATAAAAATATCAATAACACTGGTGTGGCAAATCCAAGTATTTCTTTTCTATTCACAAGCTTGAAACACTCTAATGACTGCCATCAAAGAAAGAAATACATAAGGCAGTAATAATAAATTATRTAATGAGTTGTGGGTGAGTTGGCTGCTCTTGCTGGCCAAATTTATCTGCAAAGCTTACATGGAAAACAGGGTATGGAAAGAGGACGATCCAGTTGATCATTTCAGTGACTACAGGAACTATGCAAAGGTAGGGGGAGCTTTGTTGGRAAGGGCATTATGATAGATGTTCAGACCAGAACTCATGTAGGAACAAGTGTATGGAGCACTTACTCTCTGGAGTTATTAGAAATGTCTTAGGGTAGATTCCTTTTTTTMTTTCAATGTTTATTTTTATTTATATATGACAGATGAATGCATTACAATTCTTATTACACATATAGAGCA